CCAACGCAGCNGCGAGGCCGACGCGCGCCGCCCTACCCCCGCCCTCGTCGCTGGCTCCTTGCCTCTCGGCCCCAGCCCCGCCCCCGCCTCGAGCTCAGCCTGCCCCCCGGTGGTAGTAGTCCTGTTCGCTTCTCTACCTACAGTCATTGTTTGCCTCTGCGCAGCAGGCAAGTCTCACCGCCACCAGCTGCGTTTCCATCAAAACGTCGGACTCAAAGGCCAGATTGATCCTGCCGGCCGGCCAACCCTCTCGTCTCTGACCGCCGCTTCGATGGCAGGCAAGCCCAAGACCCACATACGGCGCGGCTTCGATGGCGGACAAAGCGAGTGTAGAGTAGTTGTGCCGTCCTTTCCGATGTATGCCGATTGTCCGGCCCGCCGCCTGTCGCAGCAGCAGCAACGACGGGCGCGAGCTCGCCCCACCGGAGGCTACGGGTAGGCTTGCTGCGTTGCCCTGGCCTGGCCTGCCACTCCTGTGCGCGTAGCCGCCCCTCGCTCGTCGTCGTCGAGAGGCGGGGCAGTAGCGTCCTGCGCTGCACCGGCTCCTCGCTCGACGGCCGACGGCGTGCAATCGCTAGGCTAGGCTGCTTCACCTTCCCTGCCTTGTCCTTTGTCCCTGTCCTTGTCCTTGTCTGCCCCGCCTCGCCTCGTCGACGCGAGCCGGCCTCGGATGGCCTTGGATGGCCTGGCCTCGTTCTCTCCTCTGTGTTCCGCCATGGCACCGGTAGGCCCTCACATCTGCGCTCGAAAGCAGCAGCACGAGTGTCGGACCCCCCTTTGGCACACGGCCACCACTCTCCTCTTTCTTGCGTTTAAGAACGACGACGTCCGACCCTCCGCTCCCTCGTTGCTTCGTCCACCCCATCCCGACCTCAACGCTGCGCGTGCCTTTGCCATCACCGACCGACCCCTACTCCTAACAGCCAGCCAGCGCTTTCGATGACGGCCACCGCCCCCTCTACCTCGGCGCTTTCCATGGCTCCGCCCAGCCCGTCCCTCTCGGGCTACGCCCCCTCGACGCCCGCCACTTCGATCCGGCCTTCAGAGTGGCCCTGCGACGCCGCCGCTCCAAAGACCGGCCAGCCCGCTTCCGCCCCCGCCCTCGCCCCCGCCGCAGCCTCCGCCTCCGCTTCCGCTTCCGCTTCCGCCGCGCCTCGCCCCACCGCCACGGATCGACACGAGTATGCGCCGAGACCAGCGACGAGCGAGTTTGCGTGGCGCAAGACGCCCGACGGCTCGCCCGACGGCAAGCAGCACTGGTACCGCAGGCAGGACACCTTTGGCGAACACTGCCTGCTCTGGCAGAAGCGCTTCCCCGGCCACGCCGACATGTACTCGTCCATGCTGCTCTACGAAAAGTCGATCCCCGATGGGGCCGCCGTAGCTTCCGGCCCCTCGACCTCGACCTCGACGGACCGGAGCGCCGCGGTCCCCGCCGACATCACCGTCGACCACGTCCGCGAGACGATGAGGAGGATGCGCTCCCTCTTCCCCTTTGTCGCTATGGAGCTCGTCAAGCGGTCCGACCTGTTCGGCGTCGACCCGATCCCCGATATCCCGCGCACCATCAGCAAGCACATCGACCTCCAGGTGGCCCTCGCCTACCAGATCGTCCACACCGACCGCGAGGTCGAGAGCTGGCTCGACGAGATCATCGTCGTCCACCGCGAGCCGAGGACGCGCGACAAGGTCGAGGGACCGGAGCAGCAGGAAGACGCCGACTTTGTCGCGCAGATGTCGAGGCGCGACACCGACTGCAACCGCCTCATCGTCCACTTCTGGCCGGGCTCGAGGGCCGACGGCATCCCGCCCAGGCTGACCCTGGAGCAGTGCCACAGCAACGCCGACGGCGTCGGCTCCGCGCTCCTTATCGACGACCTCGTCGCGGTCCTGGCCGACGTCATGGCGGACCCCACGCCGGCGCCGATCCAGTGGGGTCCCGAGGTCTGCCGGCTGCCCGACTCGTTCCAGGACGCCGTGGCGGACCAGCACGACACCTGGAAGGTGACCAAGGACGAGATGCGTGAGATCCAACGTGGCAAGAGCGAACAGCTCAACGGCAAGGCGACGGCACCCAACGTCGTGGACCGCATCGGCACCAAAGTCGTGGCTTTGACGCAGCGCAACAGCAACAGCAAGAACTGGCTCGTCCGCAACGTGCTCAACAAGCCGCTCCTGGCCATCTGCAGGTCCGAGGCAGAGAGCGGCAGGATGCTGCCCCTTGGCGTGCTGCCCCACTGTAAAGAGGCGTACAAGGGCCCAGTCGGCGGTACGGGCACGCTCACCCACGTCCTGGCGCCGCACGAGGCCAAGGCGTTCATCGCCGCGGTCAAGAGCAATGGCCTCACCCCGGCACCCGTCCTGGAGGCGGCGATGCACATGGCGACCAACTGGGTGCGCCGAGAGCGCGGCCTCAACAAGCACGACGGCGACAAGGCCGAAAACCGCGTGTTTGGGTCGATGAGCAACTCCATCAGCCGGCGCGAGCTGCTGCGGCCGGACCAGAAGCGCTACCACGGCCTCGGCATCACGGGCATCCCGTCCAAGATTGGGGCCGACGAGGTGCGGTGGAGCGACCATGCCCGGTCGCACGCCCGCCCTTCGCGCCTCGATCCGCGCGACCAGGTGCCCGGACAGATGCACGCCTCGGACCTCGAGGCCCTCAACGGCGCCGCGCGCAACCTGTCCAAGCAGTACGCGGCAGGGCGCGACAACCCCAACTGGCTGCGCTTCTACATGGTCAACGCCCGCGGCCTCATGGAGGCCGAGCTCCTCTTCCTCACCAGGCGCCAATGCTACCCCTCGATGCCCTGGCTCTCGTCGATGGGCAGGATCGAGGCCAACCTGAAGCCCTCCCGGCCGATCCCCGGCACGTCGCGGACGCTCGAGGTGTACGACCTGCGCATCCGCGGCCGCATGGCCATCCGCCAGCCTGCGCTCCACGTCTACTCGCTGCGCGGCGAGATGATCTGCCACTTTAGCTACGCCGACTGGCTCTACGACCTGCCCGGCTGCGACGGCCGGCGCAAGCACCGCAGGGGCAGGCGCCAGAGCGGAGACGAGTGGGAGCGCGACCAGAGCATCCTCCAGCTCTGCCTCGACGTCTTTGTCCAGATCCTGCGCGACTATGCCGCCCAGAGCGCCGGCGGGCAGCCCGCTGCGGCTGCGATTGCGGCGTAGATCAGCCGCTTGGTCGGCCCGAACCGTCAGGCCCGTGCACGGCGCACGCGCGCTCAAGCGCACACGCTCGGTCCTTGCCTCTTTGCATCCCACCACCACCACCACCACCACCACCGACCATCTCCTTCGGCGTTGAACCCTCTCCAGCATTCTTCAATCCACGGACATAATCATGGGCAGGGTCGACGGTCGGTGCGCTGGCGCTCCGACCTTTGAAACACACCTGCCCTCTGCCCTCGTCTACACAACACTCGTTTCCAGCAAGCCTCTCTTCCGGACCGCCATGGCATGCCGGGCGTCCCTCACATCCGTACATTCGTTTACCAGCTCCCCTGTCACCGCGCTCGCGCGCTCGCTCGCTCAGTCTGTTTTGCTACACCCTTTGCCTCTGTCCTTGCTCAGCGTCGACTCCGACCTCGACCTCGACCTCGACATCGACATCGACCTCGACATCGATACCCTACCTGCACCCAGCCTGCTTGTCGCGCCACGCGCCACTGCCTGACTTGACTGAAGCGCCGCCTGGTTGACAAGGGCGCGACGAGACGATGGGACGTGGCTCGTCCTGCCAAGGTGGACGCGGAGGGAGCTAGACAGGCCGAACGTTCCATCATGCACGACGACGTGCTTGCCGTCTGGCTTCGCGTTGCGTGCGTTGGGCGTGGATTAGAGGCAGACGAGACGCGGCTATGCTACAAGGCTGCAGGTGCGGACAGAGATGGTTGGGACGGAAGGGCGACGATGCGGCACGGCGGTGTCACCTTGCCGGCCATCGCCTCGCGAGATGCGGGGGGACGAGGCCGCGGCTGCCAGCTGTCTACGAGTTGATGGCGTGGCTGCGGGCGGTAGCCTCCTGGTCGGCCTCGAGGGCCTGGTCCTCGGTGCGGGGGACGGGCTCGTTGAGCTGGCCCTGGCGCGTCTGGTCGATGCCGCGGGGCTTTGCGTCGAAGCCGCCCGGGTTCTGCTTGAGCGCCTCGTGCCGCTTGTCCTCGGGCCCGCCGAGGCCCTCGAAGCGCGCGCTGCTCTCGCCCGTGCGCTGGCTGCGGCCGTCGCCGCCTTCCTCGGGCGGGATGTTCTGAGGGTTGGTGCCGCCGCCCGTCTGGCCGGTGCGCCCCACTGAGACGCTGGCGCCCGGAAACTGGTCGAGCCCGGACTCGTTGACGCCGCTCTGCTCCGAGAGGACCGTGGTGCGCGGGTTGAACGACTCGCGCTGCTGGTAGTCGCCCTTGAAGTCGAGGTTCTGCGCCTGTTGTTTGTTGCGATGGGCGGGCGGGGGGCACCGAGGGAGCAAACGACGAGAGGAGACGTGGCGTGGCGTGACGTGGACGGGATCGCGGGTCGGTCAGTTGGATTGGCGCTCGACGATGGGCGGCATCCCTCCGCTCTGCCGTCGTCTGCCTGCCGCCGACGAGCGCAACTCACCTGCTCGTCAATGATCTGCTGGTCGCTCTTTCCTGCGTAGGCCTCGGACATGTTGGGCGGTGGGCGGTTCTAGCGTCGGCTGGGGTCTTGGTGGTGTACGGTGGCGGTACGACGGTGCGGTATGGCCGAGTCGATGGTGCAGAGGGGAATGAATGAATGGTGGTCGATGGCGAGGATCAGCCGCCCGGCTCAGCCCCTTTGGCCTCTTATACCGCACCCGTCCGCCTTTCGAGACGGCGGGGAGCGAGTAGACGACCGTCGATCCCAGCAGGTGCGATCCTCGGTCGCTCGCCGCTTCTTCGAGCTTCCTCGGCAGCCTACCCGGCCTGTACCGCAGGAAGAGCGCGCGCCAGCCGGTGACGCAGCGCGAGCGCGAGATGAAGCCATCTCGCTTCCACCGTACCAGAGCAGCCCAGACGCTGGCTCGTCAGGCGTACGCTGGGCAGCGGCAGTCGGGCAAGCCAAGGCAGACCAGGTCGATGAGCGCATCGTTGGGCACGCCGTAGGCAGGTCACGCTGCGCTCGCCTCGGAACAACTTGGCCTGTCCACCAGGCAGGCAGGCAGGCAGGTGGAGAAGCCGGCACCTCGCGGTCGATCAATGCGAGCGACGGCGGCGGCAGGCAGGCTGGGATCGAGAGAGCGAGGGAGGCCAAGGTCACGATTCACGAAACGCCCTACGAAACGAACGTCGATGTCGTCGAGGCTAGGCAGGCTGGGACAGGCAGGCTAGGCCTAGGGCAGGCGAGGGTGAATCAGCTTTGCTGCTTGCTGCCACGCCACGCACGCTGAGCTGTCGTATGATGCCACGGCGACTCAGGCCAAAGTGGACAGCCGCCCCTGCCTGCTTGCTTGCTTTGCGCTTGCTTCTCGCCGGCGTCTTTCTGCCAGCCTGGGTCCACCTCAGACCCTACCCGTCGGCCCGATGGAATCGAAGACGGCCCGCCCGATTGGGGAAAACGCCGATGCGATGGCCGCTTTGTCAGGCTGACCAAGAGACGGGCAGAACCGCGAGCGCCGGCCCGCCGTGATCGCAGCTACTCGCATTCAATTCAAACCTGCTTGAAGTCGGATCACGCCCGCCAATACAGCAGCTCGCGCGATTGAAAGGGCCGTCCTCGAGCTGGAATACAACGGTGCCCTCTACTCACTTCAAAGGGGCCCCCAGCTGCTAATCGACCCCACCCATCCAATTCAGCCTGGGGCCAAGAAGGAAATTCCAGGCCTGTCGGGGGGAGGCGGGGGCGAGGCTACGGCGTGGGCTGGG